AGGAGGGATTGGAGGAATCTAACTGTTCAGTTTCCCCAGGAGGAGACCAAGTCTTGAGCACTTCCTCGGCAGTAGGTTCTGTGCTGGGTGCCACCACTGGGACAGGGGAAACCAGATTTGTCCCATTGGCATTGGTTCTCTGTGCCCTGCTAATTTGTCTTTCTAAAGCCAAATGTCTCCTCAAAGCCTCTCGCTCAGCCGTTTTAGACTGTCCCTTCTGAGTAAGGTGCTTTGTTTTAGCCTTCTTCTTCCCCCCCACCTCTGATTCAGAAGATCTGCGTTTTTGTTGCTGCTGTGGGGGGGACAATTGAGGGACCTGTGTGACTGAATACGAGACATTGTCTGCCATTGTGCCAGACACCCCGAGTAGGCAATGCCTGGAATGGGGGAATGAGGTACGCAGATCAGATGCAGATGCTTGGGGCTGTGCCCTCTTCTGCCTATACAAACAATGGCCGGACAGACAGGATTCTTTGGACAGAAGATCCTGCAAGGCAGTGACTAAAGGTCACTATAGGAACAGTCAGGGAAAAATATTCCTCCTCACCTCCTCACCTAGTCCATACAAAAGTGCAGTTTGTATCTCTCTCTCCCCCAGTCTGTGGCTGTAGCAGCAGACCACGATCAGAACGGTTCTCTTCCTTTTCCCTCTTCCTTCCTCTTGCCTCAATTTCTTGAGGTAATCCCAGAGCCTTGCCTAAAAGGATCCCTTCTTTGTCTGCAGGGAAATGGAGTTCGGGTGGTAGCCCCACCCCCAAGGGAAACGGCGGGTAGATCCGCTCGTTCAAAATGGCGAATGGGAGGAAGCCACGCTTCCCAAAGGTAGCCCGGGAAGCCACGAGGTTTAAGCAATGGCGGATCTTTGAATTCAGCAGTAAGAAAGACTCCTTTGGTCTTAAGGGGGCTGCGCCTCTCCTCTGAGGGGAAGGAAAACAGCGCTAGGGCTCTGCTCTTGTCGGGGCTGCTTTTCGCGCCGCTCAGCTGATCGATGCCGAGCGGCGCCGCGGTTTGCCGCTTCCCGCGCGGCTCCGCTGTTTCGCGCTGAGCGGCGCCTCGGTTCCGTCGGCCAAGCCGAGTCGGCCACTCAGCTGTTTGGCGGATCGGAGGGCGACGAGCAACCCGGTGGGAGGTCCCCGCGCCGAACAGCTGCTCGGCGGGCCGGATATCGACGAGCGATCCGGCCCCGTTCCAAGCCTCCCCTGCTAGCCGCCCTGACGCCCCACTCACAACTCCGCCGATCCTGGCTGTGCCTTTTAAGTCCTATCAGCTGCCAGAGAGCTTTTCTTTCAAATGGAAGGAAGAGGGGATTCCTTTCTCTCTTTTTTGGGATAAATTCCTTTTGTCCTGAGAGCTGCTTCTCGCACTTCTACCAGGCTTCGAGACTGAGTCAAAACTGGGGTCACACACAGAGGAAGGGGTGTGGCCGAAGTTTTTACCCAGTCTGCCAGGCAGGAAGGCCGTCATAGAACCCATCCATTGGACTCTACAGCCATCCTGCTGGAGAATGGGGCAATATAAGCTTATTCTAGGTCAGGGGTAGGCAACCTTGGCTCTTTTATGACTTGTGGACTTCAATTCCCAGAATTCTTGAGCCAGCTGGAATAAAAGAGCCAAGGTTGCCTACCCCAGTTCTAGGTGAATGGAGAATTGTGATGGAATCTGGTCCCAACTGCCAGGAGGATGCACTGCAGAGGAGCAAGAGACAATGCAGTTTGAGCGAGAGAAAGAGAGTGAAGATGGCTTCTCCCTAATAGTTCCCAGAGTACAGGTAGTCCTCGACTTACGATTGCGATTGAGTCCAAATTTTCTGTTTGTTATGCGAGTTTTGCCCCATTTTATGCTTTCCTTGCCACATTCGTTAAGTGAATCATTGCACTGGTTAAGATAGTAATACAGTTGTTAAGTGAATCTGGCTTCCTCATTGACTTTGCTTGTCAGAAGGTCGTAAAAGGGGATCATGTGATCCTAGGACATTGCAACCGTCATATAAATATGAACCCAGCTGCCAAGCGGTCAAATTTTGATCGTGTGACCATGGGGAAGCTGCAATCGTTGTTAAGTATGAAAAATGGTCCTAATTCACTTTTCTCAAAGCCGTTGTAACTTCAAACAGTCACTAAACAAACAGTTGTAAATTGAGGACTATCTGTATATGCCTCATGGCAGGGGTGTCAAACTCAATTTCATTGAGGGCCGCATCAGCATTGTGGTTGCCCTGGGGGGGGGGTGTGTGGCCAAGGTGGGTGCGACCTACTGGGTGGGCGTGGATGGAGTGGGTGTGGCCTACTGGGTGGGCATGGCCAGCTCTACATCGTTCGCGTCAAGAGGGCCTGTGGGGGCCTGGGCAGGAGTGGGGCAGATCTGAGGGTCTTTGGCAGAAGGGGGTGGGACTGGGGCAAGCACCAAGGCATGGTCCAATTCTTCATTCTTCACAAAGGGTGACACCTCCCCAGCATGCACCCAGGGGGCGGGGCCGATACGGCAGCGGCTGGTTCCTCGCTGTTTCCAGACAGCCTTGTGGAGCTAAGATGGAATGCGTTTCAGCTTAGATGGCCACTACAAAATTTTATATTGACTCCTGGCCGGCCTGGGCCAGGGCCAAGGCAGCGGGGGCCGTTTCCCTCACTGTTTCCAGGATGGCTTCACGGGCCACATGAAACCACTTCGCGGGCCACATCCGGCCCCAGGCCTTGTGTTTGACATGTCTGCCTTATGGGGTTGTTAGCATGCTTTAGTTTGGCAAGAGTCTGCCTACAGGTGAGGAACAATAAAAAAATCTGCTTGGAAGGAGCATAATGTGTCTTTCTTGGTTTTTGAAGCCAGACAAGAATAGAAATAAGAACTTCCTTTGGTCCTGAACTTTGCATGCAGTAATAGGTTAAAGGCCACACACGAGATTTTCACACACTTCTCCCAGGATCACAATATGGCAATAATTCCTTTGAAGACCGCTGTCACATGAGATAGCCAGCATAAATCCAGTTCTCTTTTTTTCCTGAAGAAAAGCAGAATTCTCTTTATGCTAAAAAAAACATTACAGAGCTGAGTTGGGGTGGCATGACATGTCTTTATGCATAGCAGTGATAGCAGTTTTATGGCAAACTAGCTAATTGTGTGTATCTTAAAAGAATATTCAGAGCAATGCATAAGGTAGGATGCTTTTTCCACTGAAATATAAACAATGTAAGAACCCTGGATAGCTTAATTGGTGGAGATCCTTGGAATCTTGTAAAAGAAAATTTTTTTTTATAGGATAAAAGTCAATTTCACCAGCAAGCATGCTAACACAATCCCTGTCTCTCAAAAAAAGCCAGTCATCTTTCTGAGTCATTTGTTTTTAATTTCTCAGAATCTCCAATTTGCCAGGAATGGAAAAGACACAGAGCTAGGTCATTGATTTTCAGAACGAATTAGATACCACCTCCTTTGGGTATACTGCACTAAAGTAAGGATGTTCTGCATAGAGAAAAACTAATTTGGGATGTTCTACATCCAAACGGAAATACATGTTTCAAATATCTGGAAGGAAATGAGGGTGTCTTATTTACCGTTGGGGATGTTGCAATGGTTATAATTGTGAAAACGGTCATAAGCCACTTTTTTCATTGTCGTGGTGACTTTGAGCGGTCACTAAACGAATGGTTGTAAAAAAGAGGGGATCAACTTATCTTCCAAAGCATCAGAAGGCAGAAGAAGAAACAATGAATGGAAACTACTCAAAGAGAGAAGCAACCTGGCACTAAAGAGAAAGTTCCTGACAGTTGGGACAATTAACTGCCTTCAGAAGTTGTGGGTGCTCCATCACTGGAGGTTTTCGAGAAGAATATATAGGGTATATAGGTATAGGGCAGTGGTTCTCAACCTTTTTAATGCCGCGACCCCCAACCGGTTGTAAGTTGAGGACTACTCAACCGGTCGTAAGTCGAGGACTACTCAACTGGTGCAACACCGTTGGCAGAATGGGACTTTTGGCGGGCTCAGCAGGGCAGAGACAGCCTGGACAATTCCTATTGGCTTTGAAAGCCAATAGAATTAGACTCTATTCAAAAGAGTCTATTCTATTGGCTTTCAAAAGCCAATAGAATAAAAGGGAGTAGCACAGATAAGGAAAAGGGGGGGAAAAATGGCGGACTGCGTTGTTTGGCGACCCCCGTGAAATGGTCGTTCGACCCCAAATGAGGTCCCGACCCACAGGTTGAGAACCACTGGTATAGGGTTTCCTGCTTGAACTTGAGGTTCCTGCAGGGAGTTGGACTAGAAGACCTCCAAAGTCCCTTCCATCTTTATTCTGATGGACCTGTACATTGTATTCTCTAGAATTGGTCAGCAGCACCATTTCCATCAACACTCTAAAAGCTAACAGGTTGAACAGAAAGGCTATGAAATGTTAAGTGAGTATCCTCTTTGTTGTACATACAACAAAGCCAGAGCATCTTTCTTCTGAGATGTTGCTCTGAGTTTGGTTATGGGAAGTACAGGTAGTCCTCGACTTACAACAGTTCATCTAATGACTGTTCAAAGTTACAGTGGCATTAAAAAAGTGTCTTGTGACCATTTTTCACATTTACGGCCATTGCAGTATCCCCGCGGTCACGTGATCAAAATTAGGAACTGGCTCGTATTTATGACGGCTGCAGTGTCCCGGGGTCCTGTGATCCCCTTTTGCGACCTTCTGACAAGTGAAGTCAATGGGGGAAGCCAGATTCCCTTAACAACCGTGCTACTAATTTAAAAATTGCAGAGATGCCCTTGACAACTGTGGCAAGAAATGTCTTAAAATGGGACAAAATTCATTTAACTGTCTTGCTCAGCAACGGAAACGTTGGGTTCAACTGTGGCAATAAGTCGAGGACTACCTCTACCTTTTCTAGGATATCCTGCCTCTGCCAGTAAGAAAAAAAAAACCCAAGTCTTTATCTGGCCCCAGAAAGCAAATGATGCTGGTGTCTGCTTAACAAGAAATCTAGGTGTGGCACTTTTGCATCCCACACAAAGTCTACCTCTCCTACTCAGGGGATGCTGCAGAGCTATAAGCCTCTTTAACAATCCATTCACTTTTGTTCCGTTTCATCTTCACAGCAACTCTGCAGAAAGAGCACACCATTAAGCAACAACTGGTTCAGAATGCTCAGTCCAGTCCTCTGAGCCTGGTTTAACGTTACGTAGATTGTAATAAGCCCAGGAAGCTGAAGAGAGAAGAAAAAGGGCTGATGATGTGGCTGATTGCTGAAGGACACGTGCAGAATTCAGAATGCAAACTGCTTCGGCATAATCCGGGGCTACAGCTCTTGAGTTCAGGAAATTTTAGGGGCCAGAAAACATATACAGGTAGTTCTTGACTAATAACCGTTCATTTTGTGATCGGTTCGCAGTTACAATGTCACTGATAAAAGTGATTTATGACCGTTTTTCACACAGCCGTTGCAGCATCCCCATGGCTATGTGATCAAAATTCAGACACTTGGCAACTGGTTCATGTTTATGACAGTTGCAGTGTCCCTGGGTCATGCCATCCCCTTCTGCAACCTTCTGACAAGGACAGTTGCAACCTTCTGACAAAGAATACTGCATCCAGTTTTGGTCACCATAATGTAAAAAAGATGTTGAGACTCTACAAAGAGTGCAGAGAAGAGCAACAAAGATGATTGGAGGCTAAAACATATAAGGAACGGTTGCTGGAATTGGATATGCGTCATAAAAGAGCCAACGTTGCCTATCCCTGATCTAGTTTAATGAAGAGAGGGATGAGGGGGGACATGATAGCAGTGTTCCAAGAAGAGGGAGTCAAGCTGTTCTCCAAAGCGCCTGAAAGACAGGACAAGAAGCAACGGATGGAAACTAATCAAGGAGAGAAGCAACCTAGAACTAAGGAGAAACTTCTTGACAGTTAGAACAATTAACCAGTGGAACAACCTGCCTCCAGAAGCGGTGAATGCTCCAACACTGGAAGTTTTAAGAAGAGACTGGACAGCCATTTGTCTGAAATGGTACAGGGTTTCCTGCCTGAGCAGGGGGGTGGACTAGATGACCTTCAAAGTCCCTTCCAACTTTATTATTATTATTATTATTAAGGCAATGAGGGAAGCCAATTTCATTTAACAATAGTGTTACTAACTTAACAGCTGCAGTGATTCACCTAAGAACTGTGGCAAGCAAGGTCATAATATGGGGCAAAACTCACTTAACCAATGTCTCACTTAGCCACAGAAATTTTGGGCCCAACTGTGGTCGTAAGTTGAGGACTACCTGTATTTTCACCTTTTTTAAATATCATTTCTAAACTTCCTAAGGAAGAACAGGAAGAGATAGTCAAGAAAGAGCATCAAAACAGCACTTTGTTTGCTGCCCTAATTAGTATCACCCATTAAAAATAGTCATAAGAATCATTTCAACACCTGTCAATATTCCACACAGATATTCATCTAATGATTTCCTCAAGCTTTAAAAGCCAACAGGCAAACTAGCAATTAAGCACTTAGCAGTGGAAAAGCACAAAGGGAAATGGAGTCAGGAGTCTGTGCAGGCAGGAAAACATGAGTCCGCTCAGCTAATGTCTGCAAAAGGACTATTGGAACTGCCGTCGTTAAGCAGTCCAGTCACAGGTTTGCCTGCTTCACTTAACAACAGAAATTTTGAGTCCCAGTTATGGTTATTAAGGGAGGACTACCATGCAAAGTTGTTTTATCCATAAAATGCAGGTAGAAGTGAACACCAAAGGCTGTTTGAATACTACTTGAATGCTAAATACAGGTAGTCCTCGACCTACGACCCCAATTCAGCCCGAGATTTCTGTGGCTAAATGAGACATTTGTTAAGTGAGTTTTGCCCCATTTTACGACCTTCCTTGCCTTAGCTCAGGGGTGTCAAACTGCCGGCCCACGGGCTGGACACATCACCAGGAAACCACGCCCACTCCATTGCCGGCAATGGGGAAAAAGCTCAGACATGTTGCACGACGTCACATGACGTCGCGAGTTTGACATGTCTGCCTTAGCTGTTAAGTAAACCACTGCAGTTGATAAGTAGTAACACAGTTCTTAAGTGAATCTGGCTTCCCCGATGATGATGATGATGATGATGATGATGATGATGATGATAATAATAATAATAATAATAATAATAATAATAATAATAATAATAATAATAATAAGAAGTTGGAAGGGACTTTGGAGGTAATCTAGTCTAACCCCCTGCTCAGGCAGGAAACCCTATACCATCTCAAACAAATGGTTGTCCAGTCTCTTCTTAAAAACTTCCAGTGCTGGAGCATTCACCGCTTCTGGAGGCAGGTTGTTCCACTGGTTAATTGTTCTCACTGTCAGGAAGTTTCTCCTTAGTTCTAGGTTGCTTCTCTCCTTGATGAGTTTCCATCTGTTGCTTCTTGTCTTGCCTTCAGATGCTTTGGAAAATAGCTTGACTCCCTCTTCTTTGTGGCAGCCCCTGAGATATTGGAACGCTGCTATCATGTCCCCCCTTGTCTTTCTCTTCATTAAACTAGACATACCCAATACCAGCAACCGTTCCTTATCACGTGATCCGGGACACTGGAACTGTCGTAAACACGAGTCATTTACCAAGCATCCAAATTTTGATCACATGGGGACGCTGCAATGGTCATAAGTGTGAAAAAATGATCATCAGTCACTTTTTTCAGTTCTGTGGTAACTTCAAACAGTCACTAGACGAACTGTTATTAAGTCAAGGACTGTCTCCTAATCCCTGAGAATACAGTCAACATGATTCAGGCTGAACCTTCCTATTATAAATGGCTGCAACTGAAATTTTAATTTGGCTTGTTTGACTTGCATTCTGAAGCAATTATTTCATTAGAGTGCCTCTGTGGAACAGCCTTTCGCAACCTGGTGGTTTCAGATTCCTGGATTACAGCTCTCATCATCCTCAACTAACCTGTGGGAAGATGGAATATCTTCCACCCTATTTGGGAAGATCCTGACAGGGGGAAGGCTGAAGGGAGAATGTCATCGTTATGTCAATGCAGTTATATGTTTTATTTAACAACCATGCCACTTAGTGAATGAATCCCAATTGTGGTTGGAGAGGACTGTAATCTCACCTGGAGCTTCTGAGAGCCTAAACAGAGGTTCAAGATACAGAATAGAATACAGAATAACAGAGTTGGAAGGGACCTTGGAGGTCTTCTAGTCCAACCCTCTTGACCAAGATGTCTCTTGATCTTCTGTCAAGGGAAGGAGCTTCCTTCAATCACCCCAAACACACACCTGAAGCACCGTCTCCCAGGTTACCTTCTAACACCAATTGTCTTATTTCGCCCAACCATTTCTGGACTTATTTCTTTGTGTAACTCGATTCTATTATCTATGTTCAAAGATGCTGGAAAACAACCAAGACAAACATTTGACTTCAGGAAAGAAAAGAAATATCACATAGCAATCCCCGCAGATCAAATTAAGCGTATTATACAACCCCTGTGACTTCCAAGGATTAAATGATTCAGCTATATAATGGGAGGGTTATACCTTCAAAATATCACACACCAAATGAAGTCCTGAACTATTACAGGTAGTCTTTGACTTATAACAGTTCATTTAGTGACCAGTCAAAGTTACAATGGCACTGAAAAAAGTGACTTATGATCATTTTTCATACCTACAACTGTTGCAGCCTCCCTGTAGTCACATGATCAAAATTCAGACACTTGGCAATTGACTCATATTTATGACGGTTGCAGTGTCTCAGGGTCATGTGATCCCTTTTTGCAAACTTCTGAAAGCAAACTCAATGGGAAATCCAGATTCACTTAACAACCGTGTGACTAACTTAACAACTGCAGTGATTCAGTTGCCACAACAACTGTGGCAAGAAAAGTCATAAAATGGGGCAAGACTCATCACAATTGTGGTTGTAAGGGGAGAATTACCTGTATCACCAGAATCTGCTAAGCAGAAAAGAGAAAGGTTCTTGACATTTTTCCAAATTTAACACAATAAATGAGAAATTCTTGGCATCAATTATTAGCAGCCTTGGGCAGTTTCCTGGCAAAATGGCAGCAGCTTTAATTTGCAATGCTTGCTCTAAATCAAGGTATTCTTGTAAACCAGTGGTTCTCAACGTTTGTGTGACGGCGACCCCCATCACACAAACGTTCTGCACACGTGCGGCGGCGCACGCATGCGCGGCACGCATGCGCGGCGGTGCCCCCATGCGCGGCACGCATGCGTGGCGGTGCCCCCATGCGCGGCGGCGCCCCCTGAGGGGAGAAAATGGCGGATCGCCTTCTTTGGCGACCCCCGAAAAATGGTCGATCGACCCCAAATGGGGTCGCGACCCATAGGTTGAGAACCGCTGTTATAAACCAATTAACAAAATAAGTTACTGTTAAGTTATAAACACACATTGCCTGATTCATCATTAAGAAAGAATCGGAAACATGTAATCATCTGTACACTTACAACAATAGTAATTATGATTCAAGGAAAAAGGATTTTAAGTTAAGGACCCTATTGTAAAATGAGTTTTCCCCACTACTGTATCAGAAATATAATATTGGCTATTTCAGAAAAGTTTCCTAAAATGCATAATTTATTGTCAAAGGAAGATAGGCAATTATCTTTTAAGCCACTGAAAGAGAGGCTACACTATGATCTGGGCTGGGTAATATAGTATTTATTCTCTCACATCAGAACCATTGTCTGTGATTGAACAAACAATCTGTTATTCCTTTTCAAACTGCTACTAGTGTTAAAATCTCGTCTGAGAAGCTTCCCCCCCCCCACAGATGTACCTTATGATTATGGTATAGGTACCCAAATTTGCAGAGATAACCATCGATCAATAACCTTAACCTATAGGTGATAGAAGTGGAAGAAACCAAGAGAAAGTTGAAATTTAAAAAATCGAATTGGCTATTTTCAGATTATCATGTGAACACCATCATTGTTATACCATAGAAGGGGCGAATCCTGCTTCAAGAATAACTAAACACAACTTAGTTGTTACTCTTTAAAACCCACCTGCAACCCACCTGCAAATATCCCAGACTTGGATTACTATTTTAATAATTTATCATTCAGGATCCCGACAGCTACTTATAACAGATGAACATTGTACAGTAAAGCATCCTTTAAAATCCTCAAAACTCTAGATGTAGCTGTTTAACAGAGTCCAACATCCAATGACCTTACCCTGGCCACTCCGTGCCACATTTTCTTCAGTGGCAAGACTGAAAACTAGCAGTATTTATCTTCCCGCTCTATTCTTCTTTCAAGCATACTATGGTAAGACTCACCCCGAAGTCTGAATCTGTGACATCATTCTGTTGTCACAGAAAGAGATCTCAAGTCAAGATGGGCTCACAATGTAGGGAAGACTGGACAACCTCAGAGTCTTGCATGTTTCCCTTTTGCAGT